GCCTGCACTTCAGTTTTCACTAAAATCTATGTAGAAATTTAGCTCGTTCATACATACATACATACATACACACACATACATACATGCACAATTTCACAGTGGTTAATAGCTTTAGTTGTCAGAGAGACCTGTCTGATTTTAGATGGAAGGAATGTCAGGCTTACCTTCCCGTTCACGTCTTTTTGCTTTCTTCTTTCTGATGCAATAAATAATCAGAGCCATAAAGACAATCAGTGTGACTACACCTCCTGTGATTGCCAGGATGAGGAACATAGGTATTGAATGAGGAAAATCTAAAACACAGACAAAGTGATAAAAAAGTGTGTGTGTGCAAGTGTGTACCTACATATATGCATGTACACATATAGAGAAGGGGAAGGGAGCATATACAAAGGAGAAAAACATATTCCATTATTGTTTCTGCCCTCATAACAAGTTAAAAATAAGAAAAAAATAACACAAAGCTTTTATTCATTTTATTCATTTATTCAAACACAAAGCTTCCTTAAAAATGGTTTCTTGAATAAATCACAGTTGGCATAAACGATCAAACCACAATTTCATTTAGCATATTCATTTAACTAATTGGCTCTGTCGCAATTACAGGTGTGTATTTAGGTTTGTGGAATATCTCAAAATTGATTCATGTGTAGTCAAAAATTACAGATTACAAACCATAAAGTCTGAATTTACACATTAAGCCAGAATTAAACTTTATCATGGTTTACCATAATGTATAGACCCAGCCCCTCTTCTAGAATTCAGAGGTATGTTAGCAAGTTAAGATTAATACCTTGTCCTGCACATGTTATTTCTTTCTCAGTATGATTCTTCTCAGAATTAACTTCAATCTCACATCTGAATTTTCCAGAAAGGACTTTTAATTGCAATGTCACCTTCCATGTCGCATTGTCATATACTGGTCCTTGAAAAGTTTCAGTTTCTTGCGTATTTTGAAACAATTTAAATCTGGGTTTTGGTTTTTCAGAAGATTTCACCTCACATTTCAGTATTCTTTTGGAGCAAAGCTCAATGAGTTTTGGTTGAAGCAAGAGTTCTAAAAGAAAATAAGTAGGTTCTTCTAAATGTAATTCTGGTTTAAAGGCACCATCATTGAAGAAGGAGGAGGAGGAGGAAGAGGAGGAGGAGAAGGAGAAGATTATTCTAAGAATTGCATAATGCAGAGTTAAATCTTTATCCTTTCAACTGCTGTTCACATGTTCCCTTGCTATTGGCCTTGCCAATAGGGGCAGAAAGGAATTGAAGATCAAAACATCTGAGGACATTAGAATGCATAACCAGGGTATAAAGAAACACAATGTTTAAAGTCAGCTTGGAAACTGCAAGTTAAACAAAACTGGTGAGAAAAAAAAATCAGTATTTGGCTATCTAATAATGATATATATTCAGTGAATTCTGCAACTATTACTATTATTACATAGAGCAGAAAAATCTATATTTATTACCTAGATCCTTGGATGAGTTCCATCTGACTCCTGTTTTTTTTTTTTTTAATCTAAAAATAAAGCAGTTTGCTTATGTGCAGTCTGCTTGAGGGATTTTAACCTTTTGTTTTCACTGTTGTCCCAATGCAAAGCAATATTCTGTCTGCCTCTAATACCCTTTTGGATATTCTGGCATTCTGCCCAGCAAGGTTATGCATTGTTTTAATCCTTTCTGATCATATTCATGTAATAGAGCTGAGAGATTACTTTTTGTCCTATGGCAGGGATGGGAAACGGATGGCTTTCCAGATGTTGAACTACAAAGCCTAGAATCTGAACTATTTGTCTAGCCAGCTGGAATTGCTGGATGCTGTTATTCAACACCATCATGAGGGTCACAGATTTCCTACCACTGGTTTATGATGTTCCACCCATTTCTGTCTTGTCCCATACAACATCTAACATCAGCATGAATCTGTTATGAGATGTCATTTTATGGTTTTGAAAGATTATCACAGTATGATTATTATTATTATTATTTTGTCACCTAACATCAAAGAATTGGTCCATAGTTGCCTGGATTTGATAAAGGGTTTAATCACAGTGAACAATCTAAAATTTAATTTGGATTAGATGGAGTAGCTATTAATAGAAAGCCTGGCTTAAAAATTAGGATTCGATGTGTTCTGTTATGTATCCTCTGAAAAATTTGAACCTTGGGAATGTGGGAATGATCGGTTATCTTATTACAGCAACAAAGATCAAGGGAGGCTGTCATTTCTGATCATCTGGAAAATTCCACTGGTTTTTCATAAATTGCAGACATTTGCCTGTTAGCTGATTCATGGTATCATGATTATGTTATGGCCACATTGAGGGTTCTGCACTGGTAGCCAGGTTTTCTTGGCTCACTTCAAACTGTTGGTATTAATTTTAGAGACTTGGGAACCTAAGGCTTTGTTTTCTGAGGGCTAACTATCTTATTAATGCTTAACCATTTTTCAAAATTTATTTAAAAAGACCTTATGGCAATACCACCACCCACAGAAATCCAGCTGTGGCCAATCCAATGGTCCAATATATAGAGGGAGAAAGGAAGTAAAACAAAGGTGCTCACAGATTGATGTAGGGAAGAGATTTGGTATTCAAAAACTCACCATCAACTTGCAAAGTAATTATTTCATGATGTAGACGTTTGCCGCCTTTATCAAATATTTCCACTTCGTAATTTCCAGCATCCTTTTTTTTCAATGTATTTATTTTCAGGCTTCCATTACAAAATGCATGGTATTCCTTTTGTTCTGCTTTTGAATTATTACTGTTTACAAGACATTCTGCAATCAGTGTAGAGCCCTTAGTCCACTGTATAAAATGTGGCTCACCACTGTGACTGAGTGCAGAAAGAATAATTTGGCTTCCCAAACGACCATGGATTGTGGACACGGAACCTACACAAAAAATACACAAATTTTGTTCCTTAGACTATAAATGGAAAATGTATACTTGCCTGCTTTTTAAAATTTATCAACTTCCTACATATCTTATGCCATGCAGTGTTTCATCTTCCAAGGAAATTAACATCAGTAGTAAAAACATTGCCTTGATCTAAAGTAATTTTAGATATAATAACAGTAAGCATAGAAAGTGGTCCCTACAGAAGTAATTACATTAAAATAAGTGGTGTATTGTGTTTTTCTGGACAAGTTTCATAACGACTGGCATTCAGAAGAGCCTGTTATGTTCATATGTTGACATGCACATTCACAATAGAACTTTATTTTAAAATATTAACCAGACTAACTTCCTCTTCACTCACATATATATCCAGTTAAAAATAAAATCTTCCTTGAATAAGCTCCATTCTGGTGACTATAAACACATCCATGTTGTTTTCTTTTCAGCTGTACAGAAATGGTTTGATCTTGTCTTTTTCAGAATGTTTTTGTTTTACTTCCCAGTCTACCCTATCGCCCTGGGATTCCTTATAGTCTCCAACCAAACCAATCAGATCTAACTCTGTTTTTTAATTGTTTTCATATTTTATATTGGTTTTAGTAGAGGAATGGGGCTTTTAAAACCTCTTTGCTTCAGTTTTCTTTTTGTGTATTTTGTTTAATTTTGCACATGCATGCACTGAGTATACAATGCACATTCTGGGTTTTGTTTTTTAAATGTACCTTCAAGTCATTTTTTACTCCTGATGACTACATGGATAAGTCCATGCAATTTTATTGGTGACATTTTTGGGATTAGTTTCCCATTGCCTTCTTCCTAAAGTTGGAAGAGAGTGATTGGCTTAAAGTCACCCAGTTGGTTTCCTAAGGCAAGAATAGAATACAAGTTTCCCTACTCCTAGCACATTGTACTTCATAGCACAATCTCAGAGTTGAAGAGGTGAGGAGCATCAATCACTATGCACAAGAAGTTTTGTGTGATAGTTAAAAAGATTGTTCACACTAGCAGTTTATAGTGATATTCAGCCACTACTGTTGTGCTACATTATGAATGCAGATAAATTTTATATTATCATAGTGATGCCTATATGATACTATAAATTGTTCCTATAGATAGCCTCAAACTCTGAAAGAGAAAGTGAAGTGAGAGTAAGAATAAAAGGTGGCGAAGATACATGGGAGACACTTGTTTTAATAAAAAAAAATGGTGGAAATGTCTACATAAGAAATACATATATGCTAGATAAACTTGGACTCTTTCTAAATGATTTGCCCCATGTGGAGTTATTTCCATGGATTCACTACTTATTGAACTTTGCTAAAGCAATCAGTTAACCAGAGTTTCTGTGAGAAGAACTATGTCGAAAGCCAGAGTATTCTCACAGCCATTTCACAAAGCCCCAGAAATCATTACAAATGCATTGAGGAACATAAGAAGGGGCCTGCTGGATCAGGTCATGACCCTTCTTAGTCTAGCATTGATTTCTCTTAAATGGCCAAAATTGCCATTTAGTTGACTATTCATCCAGTTTAAAAAAAATCTTTTTCACAACTAGTTTTGCTTTTTATCATCCTGAATAGTTTAGTATTGTTTGCAAACTGCTCACTCCTAACTTTATTGAACAAATTAAAAATACTGGTCCAAACACAGATCTTTGAAAGAGTCTATTTCTTCCTTTTCTTCAGTGAGAAAACTGCCCATTCTGAGCTATGATTTTTAGTCTGAGTTGTGGGTCTGCAATTGGATTAAAATACAGAGGAGGAGAAGCTAATAACATGTGTTCCCTGATCCTGATAAACTGAATGAAGCATGCTTGTTTCTATATGGAAATGTTTAAGCTTTCTACTGAACTGTGAATTTTACCCCACACAATTTACAGTCAAAAAAGGGACATTCAGAAATGAAAAGAACACCTTTGACTGCAGATGCATAACATTAAAAATGTTTCTTCTTCCTCATGTTAATACTTTGTTGCCCAGAGTTTTAAGGCAGCCTTTCTCACGCTAATGCCAGCCAGATGCACTGGATTTTGGTCCATAATCTATTTTGAAATCCAAAACATCTGAAAGGTATCACGTTTGGGAAGAAGTTTTTTAAAGTTAAAGTCTTCGTTGCTTTTCATTAGAAGGAGAAAAACCACTCCTAATTTGTTTTGCAGATTAAATTCTGAGTGGCAGTTATATTTTTCATTGTACCCACTTAAGGGGTACCCTTAAAGGCTATCGCCAATTATTTCATGTTCAACATTTTCTCAAACATTTCTCCCCAAATTCAATAGTTCATTGTGGCAATGTTACTCTACATAATGTTACACTACATAATGTACACTACACAATGTTACACTACATAAGCATAATCGATTTTTCTTTCAGATCCTTGTTAACTTTCGACTGTAGCTCCAGGTGGAATTTACCCAACCAGTACATACCAGTTGGGAAGGAGCACTGTGGATATCCCCTCCCCAAAAGTCAGAGAAGAAGGACCTTGCACTCTGCAACAGCTTGTTCCTGAGGTCAGGATGGCTTCTACGCTGATGTTGATGTTTAGGAAAGCTAAAAAAGCTATGTCTCAGAGCCTTTGGTATAAAGAACCCAAATTAAATTGATCACAGTGATGGCTTTTTAACTGTGATTTCAGTTGAGCATTGGTTTTATGTTCTTAGAGTCTGTAAGCCATCTACAGCCTTGTGAGCAGATAGCATATAAATGATTGAATCAGTAATAAACTAAATACATTTATTTATTATCATTTCATCATCTGCATGGCAAAGAAATTGTTTCTGTTATTTCAAATGGGGTTCAGTATGATGTTTAATATTTTCCAGATACTAAAATCCTATCTGAAAAGGCTACCAGCTGTAATTTTTATAGAGATGTTCTATTTTTATTACCTAGTACAAATATAACTTTTTAAGAAAGCAATTCAGCCAATTCTAAGCTACTTCAAGTTTGTTGTTTTTCAGCGCTTGCATTACTATACTAACTTCCTCTGACAACCTTTTTGTAAATGTTTGTGTTAAACTGCTGGTAGATAGCTGAGTACAACCAGGTGGTCACAATATTGCACCATATGCTCCATAACTTCCTAACTGTAGAATGGCCATAGCTGACTTACAAACATCCATAAAGTTTTACAGAACCCAAACTCCATTAAATCCTAGTTTCTAATAATAATTTCTAATCTTAATAGCTAATAATAATAATTTCTAATCTTAATAGCTGTGAGTGTAGAATAGTGATTAAGATGTTAAGACTTGGACCAGGGTGACCGAGGTTTTAGTCCCTTCTCAGCTGCAGCAGCTACCTGGGAGACCTGGGACCAGTCCTTTTCTCTCAGTCCAATGGCCAAGAGACTGGTCTAAAGATATTCACTGACTTTTGACTGCCACCTGGGTCCAAGTCCAACAATTTTTTTAAAAAAATTACTAAATTTTAATCACTTTATTATTACAATGAAAACATTTGTAATAGTTGCAGTAGTTGGCATTTTCAAAGAAAGTCAAATAATATTGTGGTTTCAAACTCACCTTTCAAGCTGAATAAGATAATCAGGAATTTAATTAGGAATGGGTTGCCCACATTCATGATCAAGGTTGTATTTGTCTAGAGAGGCAGGGAAGTATATTCTTGTGACAAAGCATGCGTCTTCTGACACACATACATCACATCACTCATACTTTTCCTTCTCTCTCTCTCTCTCTCTCTCTCCCACTGCCCGCACCACCTGCACGTTGCAGCTTTTCTTTCTCCAGCATGCAGCAATGAGAATGGCAGATCCAGATTTAGTAGCTATCAGTTACTGATAAATAGCTATTGCAGAAATATGCCATTTATATTTTTCCTTTTCATTTCAAACTCTCTACTTCCTTATCTGATTTCAAAGAAAAGGTGAACAAGGTTCATTGGGAAATTTCCATATGAAACTCTGGGGGGTCACATTCAGCAATTTTCCACACTCGTCACTTCTATATTTCTGTCAAATTATTAAAGTCATGATTCAACACATAAGAGGAAGGGGGATCTGATTTAACATTTAAGTAGATGCTTTAGGCTGAGCAAATTTTTGCTCTTCAGCAAAATGTATGAATAAGAGAAAAATTATTGTATATTTTTGATGTAGAGAAAGTAAATGATAAAGTGAATGGCCTTGAATTATGTAATGTGATGCGTGAAGAACTGAAGATTTGCTGCTTAATCCAGTAAAATAATATATGAGAGAAGCAAAGTGTACACTAGAATAAATTGTTGCTTTGCAAATGGTTCTACTTTGTGTAGGAAGTAAGTCAAGTCTTCCCTTCATGGATCACTGCCTTGTCGTGGCAAAGGGGCTTGCGTAACTCAGTGAAGCCGTGAGCTATACCGTGAAGGGCCACCCAAGACGGA